AGGCTACAGCTTGCACTACTGTCAAACAGGTCTAGAGGAACTTAAAGAGTTCAACAGTCACAGCAACAAAACCAAAATCTGACCAAATGCTTCAAAACCACTCTGGCACTTGGACAAGTGTTTAAAACAAAACCAACAACCAATCAACCAACAAACCCAAACAAACAAATAAACAAACCATGAAACACCCTCACAATCCTCTCCCCAAAAAGCCACAAGAATTGCAGCACTGTTTAAAAATATGCAAAGAAAACCAAACCCCTAAGCCTCAACCTGAGGCTCTTTTCCATGTGGACCTATCCAGTTCCCCAAGTGCCTGGATAATAAGCTATATTTAGGCATCTCTAGAAGCTATATTTAGGGGTTCTGATTTTACTCACTGTCACTGTGCAGTTACAGAAGTGCATTGCTTCTTCTTACAAAAAGGCTTTTTGTAAGTTTTATTAAATGAAATTATAAATATATTTGAGTAAAAACTGGCAGTTTCTTTAGTGAAGTAAAGAAATCAGTGGGTTATGCTTAAACAGGGTCACACTTTGTGTGGTATTTCCCTAAAAACACCTTGTACAGAACAGGATAGGTGGTGGGAATGACCAGATCATATGAAAAGCAACTTGCAGGGAAAAAATATATTTGATTGGGGCCTTTTAAAACATAATTTCTTGTGAAGATTCTCTTTCAATTACCCCTTTTTCCTTGTGCTGCCTGCACTTATTTGCTGGGATTTCTTTCAGAGCAGCACCAGAGCTGGTGACTGCTAAGCAAACACAACTGGGTGTCTGTGAGAAGCAACATCTACCCCCAACAATGCAAAACACTGCCCAAACCCAAGCCTATTTATCTTCCTGGACTCATATCCTTTGGGCTTCAATAGCTTGGCAATTGTCAAGTCACTGATGCCATCATGGTGAGGATACTTAGATTTTCTTATCAAAACTCTTTCATCCCTGCTTTTCATCCCCTGTTTTCCAGGGTAGGTTGACCTGGTAGGAACTGAGGGAAGGCCCTGGAGACCCAGTGGCTGCTGGTGAGCCCCAGCCTCCTGCCACTGACTCCTGCCTTGGGTTCGGTAGTGCCAAGAGGGTAGTGGAAAATCATTTTTCCTTTGTTTCCACAAAAAAAATCACAAGAAAAAATAAAAGAAAGATGAAAAAAAATTTGAGTTTTCCCCTTTGTAATATTTTTGTATCTGATTTTTTTTACATTCCAAGAAAAAAAGAAGGAAAAAACAAAAGAAAAAATGGCTACATCCCATAACCAAGGCCAGCTATTCCCAGGATCAAGGAAAGAAGGGAAAACCAGCCCAACACAAGTAAGCTCAGGAGATGCCAGCCAAAGACTTGATCCTGAAATGAGACTTTTCAGGAAACTTATCCTTTGTCTGTTCACATTGCAAAGCAACTTCTTTCTCAGCATCATATCTTTTCCAGAAAAAAAAAAATCCTTTTTATCACCTTAATTATCTATTTCTAAGGAGTGGGCTTGGAGCATAGGAGCCATGTACCCATGGATTTCCTGACAGCATCCAGCACTGATTATCCCACCCTTCATGCAGAGAAAATGCTAATGAGGACTTTTGCAAATGAAAAGCCTCATGCTCTCAACACGTTCTTCATTTTCACTTGTCTTCCAGAGGAAAACAACAAAGGAAATTAAGCTTCATCTCACGCTCAGCTGGGATATAGAATTGGTTCTTTCAAAAAGGCATTTACCGAAACCTTTGACTTTGAATTCCCAGGCCTAACACACGTAGGGATTTTTGGATGTGCTGCTGCTCCAACACTTAGAGCAGTGAGCAGTTTGCTGAGAATTTCTGCAGTCACTCAGAGTTCAGCCTCTGACAGGGCTTTCAAAAACAGCCACTAAAGAAAGGGCCAAGTGGAAATCAAACGTTGCACCACCTCCTCTTTTAGGGGTGGTTTTCCTGCCAACCCCTGTAGCTCTGAGGCTGAAGGAAAACAATCCACTGAGGGATAAAATAACCCCAGCATGAAGCCAGTGCCTGCAGGAGTTCCTGGTGTATTGCTTTCAAAAGTTGGGCAGAGCAGGAAAATTGACTTGTCTGGTGACAATCTTTCACAAAATACTAATACTGAACTACTGTTATTAATTAGTTAAACTTTTAGAGTGATATGCCAGGAACATTCCTAAAAAATATTTCACTTCCCCAGAAAAACAGTGTATCCCCCTATTTAGGTGGAGCACAGAAATTGTAGTAGTTAAATTGTTTTCCACAAGTCTTTCAAGACCTCAGGATGAAATACTCGGCTGGCCACAAACAAAAAATTCATGGTAGCATGTATTGTGGAGTTCAGGAATTTCACAGGACCCAGACAGTGTGGATTCCATATTCATCCACAATACCCTGCACACATCATATTAAAAAGTGGGGGAGTACAGAGCAGGGGTACAAACCAAGGCTTTGTACAAGCAAAGAGATGCTGAACTTCTTCCTGGAAGGTTTGAGGTGCTTACAGGACACCACAGCACACAAAGTTCTGTGCACAGGGTAATGTGTGGCCACTGTAGTGCAGTAAGTGGCCTCCACATCAAAGCTGGGGGGGAAATTCCAAGGCTACTCAAAGAATAAGGCAAATTTTGATGTTCAAGGCTCTGGCAAACCAAATGTCCCTCCCTGCCCCTCACAGGCATTCCTGGGTACCATCCCCTGAGCATCCCTGCCCCACCAGGGCAGGTAGAAGAGGTCATACAGAGCCCTCAGGCTTGGGGACACCCTGGAGACACCCCAAGATGTTGGTGACAAGCACTGAAGAGATGCCCAGAGAGTCAGGACATAAATCAAGGTCTCTTCCTTCCATACTGACTTGAAGGGCAACTCTGCTGCCTAAAAACATTCCAGAAACTCAAAACAAAGTTCCTTGGCTTCAGAGAGCTCTCAGAGTTCTGCACTCCCCCACAGATGAATTCTAATCACCATTTGATCCTACCCTTTATTTTTGGTTATTAAGACACTCAACTGCCAAAGTATGACAAATCCACCCCAAATATCTGCAGAGCTCAAACATTTAAATTTCCAGCTCATTTGGAACTGGCCTGGCAATTCAACCTTCCATAAGGGCCATATTAAAATTTAGATATTAGGAAACAAAATATTTTCAGATGCCAGCTGAAAGCTGACAGAGGCCAACTCAAAATATCCAGAATAAATCCTGTGCAGGCTATGAAAGAAATTGTGCCAGCCAATATATATACACACACATAAAATTTCCCAGTTTTTACATATTTTCCTTTTTATAATGGACATAAGCAATTTTTTCACATTAATCTTTACCCTTTCCAGCAATGAGTTGTTCACTAAGGAGAAATGTCCTTTTTGATGGGAACAGGAAATTTGTGAGCAAAATGCAAAAAGAGTACCCTGACTAGGAAATACTTGACAGGACACTGAGTGGGGCCATGTTAATTGGTACATCCCTTTTCTGGGTTGTTCAAAGGCCAATTTGCTCAGCGGGTTCATGAGAACACATCCAGTAACAAGAAGTCTTCATTATCTTCATCATACTTAAAAAATAATGGCCTTAATTCTGTCTACAGGTCCAGAACAGGCTTATTTGACCTGCTGAAGTGGGCTATGTATCACGTGCTCTTCCCTCTATAACTATATAACACTAAGAAAAATTCAGTTTTATCTGATAAAATCTCAGCCATTTTCTTCAGTTTCCCCTCTGTGATTGTTTTGCTCCAGATTTTTTAAACTCCACCAAATTATTAATTTTATAGTTAAAGAGTGGCATTTTTACATCCTTGTCTGGTAACCCCCAAGTATTATTTCAGCTCAGTCCTCAACATTCAGAAAGATTTACTGCATGCATCTAATTCTTCCATATTCCTCACTGATACCCCATCTGCCATGGAAAAAATACCCAGTGGAAGAAAAAACATTGTAATAAAATCTATTTCGAGCCTGCAATAAAGGTGCCAGCAATACCTGTCTCTGGTAAATCACACACCAGCAACAGGATGCTCTTATTAAAATAAATTTGCAGAGGAGCAGAGCAGGGGGAAGTTGGGATTGTTCCTGCATTGTCCTGCCACACAAAGGCCCACTATTCCCATCACACTGGGAATGGGACTGAAGTGGGGACTGAACGTGCTCCAGTGTTGTTGTGCTGAGGACAAAGGGAATATCACAGCATAGGGGATGGCTGCTGGGAAATGGTAACAAGCAAAATGCTTCACTTTCATAAGACTTTACACTGGATAACAATGGAAGATTAATTACAGAGGGGCCTTAATTTGAATAAGGTTAAACACAAAAGCTCCCAGTTGTGTTCAAGCAAGGTTCAAATGACTTCATGTGGGAAAAAGCCACATCTTTGAACCAGAACATCTCCAGAGGAAGACTTGTACCAAACCCGCTTCCAGTTTGAGAGGGAGGGACTCTGTCCCAGCTTTACCAAAGGAAGTCTGTGCCTTTGATGCACTTTTCAGTGTGCAGGGATGAGAATAAAAGATGCAAGGCACCCATTTGATATGCAGAGTTAACAGGGCCAAGCATTGCTTTCTAAATGGAGTGATCAAAGTAAGATCCCAGTTCTGGCAGTGCCTCCCGTGACAGAGCTCTCTGAAGGGTAGGTGCTTTTATCAAAATGCTGAGCAACACAAATATCAGTGGCATCTTCATGCAACTGTTCCCCCAAAGCAGCACAGACCTGCCAGAACAGGAGGAAAGGTCAAATATTGGCAGCATGAAGATTATAAAAATCTGAGAGAGAGGTGGTTTGTACATAGGCATACCTTCTGTTGCGCCCTTTTGTGCTCCTTGGAGAACAAACCCAGGGTTTGAAGCTAAGACTGAATTTCAAGTTGGAAAGCCTAGAAAATAGCAAATTATCCACTCTTGGGATTATTCAGCTATTGGGTCAGTGCCTTTGCTGGCTGTGCATTGCAAGATCAAGCTGTGTCATGTTCAGCTGGTGCAGAACAAGGTATTTCTGTCAGTTCAAACCTACAACTACCAGCTATGATTGCTACAGTACCTGAGTGGGTCAGTTGAGACACTGCTTCCTGTTTCCAGTGAAGTCCTGAGGTGACAGCAAAAGAATAAAATTATAAAGTATTAAAGTACAGACCAAATTAAAAGCACAAACTATTCCAAAATTCTATGTCCTAAATATCAACGACTTTACATTCTCTTCCTTCTTACTGACATTGCAGAGTACTTAGCATGCCATTAAACATGAGAGTAAATAAAAAAACCCAAACAAAAAAACCCATCACCCTTTCCTAGATTAGAGAAGGGGGAATTAGAGAAACATTTGTCTGAATAAGTCACAACCTGATCAATTTTCAATATTATAAAAGCACTCCATCCTTCTGTATCTAAGTGAGCAACTTTTATACTCTGGGGCTTTCTGCTCTCTACCCAATAAAGGCAACTGTGGAGTTGTCTTGCAGAATTATTACAGCACAAAGTTCAGGTAATTGTAAGGACTGAGGAAGTTCTCTAAGTATGTTGATTTTTGAGCAGCAATATTTAACATGCAGTGTGATGTAATTACCCTTGCTCTCTCTGAGCATGACTCCAGATTTATTAAAATTATATCTATTTTATATTTTTTATATATATATATATATATATATAATGGTCACTTGGACTCATCCATTTCTATCCCTTATACAAATGGCCATAGATCAGTCTTTGCTCACAGAACCATAAACATGTACAGTAGAAGTTCATAAAATTCACATTAGAACTGCATTAATTATATTTACAGTGGTCACTCATAAATCAATGGCAAATCTTGACTTTGAATTCCAAGATTCCTAATTCATTTACAAAACTAAACAGGGTGGTGTGAACGGAGGAGGCCATAAAAGCAGCAAGAATTATCTGTACAGAAATGGAAACAAACCATACTGTCCAAATAGCTTTTAACTAAAGCGCTAAAGCTTTAAAATAGCTTTGGGGAGCTTATACCACCCTGTAATTTGTTTGCTTCCCCAGTTCAAGATTTGTGAATAGTGCTGAATTTTGAGGGGGATGGCTCACATATGCCAGCTTTGTGGCTAGGTGTTGGTTTAACCATGGAAAAGAAAGGGTGAACTTCACTTATAATTCAGTTTCCTGCTTTCCTCCGTGCGCTGTGGACGTACCAGCCTGCTCACTCAGCAGGGCTTTTGCCTTGCTTTTAAACCCAGACTTGCAGGAAAAAATCTGCTCTGAGCAGTCTCGGCCCCTGGTGCTGTGAATAAATATTTCTCAGACGCTGTCTTTGTGCAGCAGGGATGTGCGGTGCATACAGAGGAGATGCTAATGAGCAGTGATTAGCCCCAACCCCAGAACACCTCTGATGACACTGAACACTCCTGACACAACCCCCAGGAGCAGGATTACAGCTTCATTAGGAATCCTGGTTCTCCTTCTTGAAGTCAGGCACCCCAGGTAGCACCCAGACCCCCAGTCAGGAGAGGCACATGTATTTCTATATATAAACTCACCTAGGAAAAGCACAGCTCTTAGCAAAAATACTCCTCTTGGATTCATAAACCAGGCTCATCAAGATTGGGAAGGACCTCCAGGGTGAGTCCAACCCTTACCCTGACACAGCCAGGTCCATCAAACCACATGCCCTCAGCACCACATCCAAGTGTTTTCTGAGCACTTCCAGGGCTGCTGATCCCAGCTCTGCCCTGGGCAGCCTGTGCCACTGTTTGCCAATCCTTTCAGGCAAGAAATTGTTCCTAATATCTAATATCCAACTTCCCTGGTGCAAGTCTTATATGGTTTTTTAGCTGAAGGGCAGATATAGGAACAGTGGCAAAGACAGGAAAACCTTCTGGTGCTGATCTGGAGAAATTCCCTGGATGAGAAAGATGCCCACACTGTGGGGAGAAAGGTGGAAAACAAAAAGTCCTACAAAGAAGGGCTACACACCCAGAATTGTTATAGCCCAGCCTTTTTGCCTGGCCACCCACCCTCAGACTCAACCTGGCATTGTGGAAAACTTCAAGCATGGTCTGACAACATGAAAACCAACATTTAGTGGCCACAAACACCCCCACTGGAAACAGTAGAAACAGGAGAAACCAAGTTTAAATTCTGCTGAAAGATCTGGACGTAGGGTACAAAAAGTTAGTTAATTCCTGTCAAATTTAGAAAATAGTATAATCACAACTTTACTCCCCTGCTTTCTTTCCAGCTAAAAATCCCATTTAAGTATTTTGGTTTCTTTCCAAAGTGCTCAAAGATAGAAAGTTAATTTAAAACATAAAAATAACCTAGATTCTGAACACAATGTCATTAAAGCTGCAGCAAACCAAGTATCTCATTGCATACAGGATCACTTCAGGAATGATAAAAATATATCTCATTTAGGTTACTCCAAAAAAAGGTTTGTTCATTTTGCTTTACTTTTTTAACAAATGAACTGGACAGGAAAATAAAATACTGCACTGCTGTGAAGAAAGTGAGCAGGAAGGTCTGATAATCCTTTTTATTCCTAATGGGCACTGGCTCATTATATTTGTAGCCCAGAAAGAAGCACAGATAATATCTAATAATGAAGCCATTAAAAAGATATTGTTAAATATAACAGACTTGTCTATATATGTATCATTTCCATTGGAATGAATAAAGATATCTTAAAAACTTCCCAGACTACCATTAGCTGCAGAATTGCCCAAGGCTTTGAGTGAAAATTGAGCTGAGATTGAGCACAAACTGCCGAACTGCCTGGAACTATCAGGGAATGCTCCACACCACCCTGGGGGCTGTTTTGTATCTCCAGTTTGTTTCCATGGAGTTTGCAAGGTCCTTCCAGGTGGGCAGTGAAGGAAATCTGCCCCAGTTTCACTGTGACTCAGCTGAATGACATCTCCTCCCCTCCTGACATTTCGGGGAAAGGCACTAACTAAACTGGGCACACAGTGGGATTATTTACTGCTAATGTGGTCAGCATGAAACCTGAAGAATATGTATAATTGTTGGTAGTAATGACTGCTTCCAAGACTAAAAGGATTATCCAAATTATGGATATCCTCAGCTCCTGGATGAGGAGCTTGCCTAGAGCTTCCACCTGTGCACGGGAATCCTGACCAGCCCACTTCTGCAGTGCATCATGCAGGAGAAAATACAAATGTTTCCAAGAAATCATTGGTCTAAAATTCAGACAGTAGGCTTTGGGTGTAACATGCTGGTTGTGGGTGGGAAGACAAAAATCCACCACTCGGTTGTGGGTGGGAAGACAAAAATCCACCACTTGTGCTCCAGGTGCTCATGAGACAAAACAGCCTCGTTTATTATTCAGAACTCACTTAAATACCCAATTCAGATTTCCCGGGCTAGACAGCCATCGGCTGAGATCTCTCTCCCTGCCCTGCGTCCTGGCCAGTGGTGTGCTTACTGCTCAGCTTGGATGGGGCTGGCTGAGGGTGCCCTGTAACTTATCCAGGGAGGAACTAGGCTAGCTGAATTGGATTTGTGTTATGGTTAGATTTACTTTGTCCAGGCCAACTGTACTGTGACAATACTGTAACATTTGGGTATCCATAGACAAAAACTATAAACACAATTCTGATCAAGAGTTCTGTCTTGGAGCATAAAACAAGGCCACAGGCTCCAACTCCTGTTATTGGCACTGTGTGGTGAGCAGAGAGCATTCCCTAAAAGATGTCTAAAAGATTCCCTAAAAGGGTGTCTAAAAGATCTTATTCCACAATGTTATAGCAGATTGAAGGGAAATAAAATTATCTCTTAGTGTCTTGAGCCATGATACAAAGCTCTGGTTTATTTTGCTTGTTTTGTGATGAAATAAACTGGGTTTTGTAAATACAAAAATCAGCATAACTAAAGGTTATTTTGGAAGTAGTCCAAGGTGGAGCTCCTTCTATTGTGTGACATAGAGAGGGCAGGGAATGAACACTGGAGAAGTGAAAACCTCCAGTGGTGCTTTGCTCAGCTGTCACAGCAGACAAGGAGTGTTATTGATCTGGGACTGCTACAGAGCCCTTCAACTCCTGCCTCTCCATGTGGAACAGTGGCAGTGGGAACCACTGAGGATTTGGAAGATGTCTCTGTGACTGCAGCAAGCCTCAGTGTGACAGAGCCACCCAGAACTCTGCTCTGGCTGAGATGGATGAACGGGGACAGTCACTCCACACAGCAGCCTGGTTTTACCTCTGGTGATGGAGGGTGAAGTCAGAACTTCAGGAGGTTCTTATTGGGCTGAGTGGATAATCCTGGGGGAGTCCCCATGCTGATGGTTCAGTCCAGCTGCCTCCCCTCCTCAGGGTCCCCTGGACAGCCTCAGGCTCAATTTGCCTGGATAATGCTGAGCTGGGGCACCAAAGTCCCTTCCCATCAGTGTAGATGGCTGCAACTGCTTCATTAGCTGCTCACCAGAGGACAGAGGAGACACCAGAACTACTCTCTTACTGCTGGCAGAGCCTACAAATAACCACACAGCATAAGCACACATCGTGCAAGCAGCCAGAAAAATATCCAATTTGAGAAAAGCCAAGATATTATTCTGGCTCGAAAATGCACAGTGGTGACAGATGAAATAATTGCAGTTGAAGCAAACCCCTAGCTTGATCCCAAATAAAGACTGCTCAAATATATCATCCTTTGGCTAAGAAGGGAGATTCACTTGGAGCATCAGAGTACAAAGTTATGCTGTCTGCAGACAGCCGCTCAGAGGGGTGTGAGGGGAAGAGGCAGCTCTGAGCTCTGTGAGAGCCTCAGTGCTTGCAGCACTGTGCTGCTGCATCCCTCTCACACTGAGGGATGGAATGCAGAATAATACATTAAATATTTAAGACCCTGTCTGGGGTGTTGCTCAGCGAATAATTGCTGCTGCTTGGCACACAATTTCTTCTTGGAGCTGGCAGTTCACGTAAGAAAGGGAAACCTGCTCACTGCAGGCTGGTGCTGTGGTGTTGCACATGTTCACATACAAAGGAGGACTAAATTATTTCTTTATACTCCAAAGTACAGCTTCACCAAATGGAAATCTTTACCCTTGCTTGACATTGGTCTGGCACACCACAGATCCCACTGCTCCATTTGGAAGGAAAGTCCAAA